CTGGGCATCAGCGTCGTTGGGGGAAATGAGACGCCTCTCATCAACATCGTGATTCAGGAAGTGTACAGAGACGGGGTCATTGCACGAGATGGGCGGCTGCTGGCCGGGGATCAGATACTACAGGTGAAAAGACTTGGTCAATTAAAAAAAAAAGTATTGTTTTTATTGTGTCTTCAAGGAAGATTTGACGTGATTTTACCAAACACACTAGCCCATTTTCATACAAGACCGGAGCTCCCAAAACTTCAGAGCTTCACTTTAACAATTACTGATTGTTTTCATTCAAGATCCATTCTATTAGTAGCTGTTATGGCAGACAATAGTATCAGTATCAAGTATATTATATGTTGGTATATTTTATTAGTAATTCACTTCGAAAAATGTACATTTCTGTGAGCAGAGTTTAAGGATATCTCACCTCACCTGAATCATTTCTTAATGTTTTTTCTTTAATAAAGAAAATCTGTTGGTGAAGTTTGTTGCTCTTTCTCCTAAATCAAATTTTGATTATTTTTCTACCTACTTAAAGCTGCTCTAATCAATATTATTTTTAATAATGGATCACAGAACTACTTCTATTTGAAAAATGCAGAGAAAATGATCACCAATTGTGCAGTTCCCCTCACCTCTAAGGTGCAAGTTAGCATCTTTGAGCTAATTATTTTGGTTTTAAGGCCCACAACTTTACTGTTTTAGTTCACTCTAAATGCTTTCATTAACCTAATTTCCACCTGCCTGTTTTCAGCGAGGTAAGCTCAAATGAAGCAAATGTGTGCTACATGCCCAACAACAAAAGGCAGACAGGAAAGGTTAGCCACTAGCTGGTAAGCATAGTGGAGCATTTAGCTGCTAAAGAGCCAATTTTTTTTCTCAGGAGTTAGTGGAGACCAAAACAAAGATGACCAGAGTAAGAAGACTCACCATGCTAATGTTGCTCTGTGTCAGCTGTATATCAACTTTATTGTGGTGTTTGCAGTTTGTTGTGCTGCCCCAAAAATAATTAATGACAACACATTAATTGCCCAAACTTTCCTTTGACTCATCTTTATCCCAAGGTTAACAACGTGGACATAAGTAATGTCCCCCACAGTTTTGCCCGCTCTACACTGGCACGCCCCTGCACCACTTTACAGCTGACTGTGCTTAGGGAGCGCCGTTGTGCCTCCCGGGCGCCTCCCTCCTCTTCCTCTTCCACACCGGCTGTGCCCCATGCCCCCTGCTCCACCCCTGAGGGCACCCCGTCCAGCCCTGCCACACTGAGAATCACCCTACACAAGAGGGACTCAACAGAGCAGCTCGGCATCAAGCTGGTACGGCGAACGGATGAGTCAGGAGTGTTTGTGTTGGATCTGTTGGAGGGAGGCCTGGCAGCGAAAGATGGCAGACTGCGGAGCAACGACCGTGTGTTGGCAGTCAACGACCAGGATCTACGCCACGGCACCCCAGAGCAGGCTGCGCAGATCATACAGGTGAGGATGCACATGGTCATTCAGGCTAGATTTCTTTTGGTATTATTTAGAAGCAGAAACATGAACAACAGAAAAGAAAATGTGAGTGAGGAAAAGAAAATCTGTGTCTTATTAGGCCAGTGGAGAGCGAGTCCATCTGCTCATTGGCCGACCCAGCAAACCAACTCCTCCTCCACCGCCAAAATCAAGCTCCACCAGAGACCTCTACTGCCTTGATCACTTCCTGCCTAACCACAGCTCTACCCCGAGTCCTGTGCCCATACACCTCTCACGCACCAGCACTCACAGAGTGAGTAGATGTGTGTGTGAATTAGTATGTTTGTACACATGTTAAGATTGTGTATTTGGGGGTATTTTGACATGTTTTTATTTATTTCAAATATTTAATGACATGGGGATTTCAGATTTTAAAAATGATTTATATAAACATTAGTGTGGGGGGAAAAAAAAATGTAATTTGGATTAAAAACTAAATTTCTTATTATAACTTTTAGGCACTCATCTGCATTTCCCACCTATTTTTCTCTTTACTTTTTATTAGTGGATGCATTTTGATGAGATGAAAATCAGTTTAAACCAAATGGCTCCATGAAAATCAGTAAACTGAAAACAATGATGTACAAAGAGTAAGTAGACTGAAGAACATTTACCTGTGAATGGACACATTTTCTGTTGTAGAGCCTGAAGCCGTGTGTGTGTGTATGTGTGATTATACCCAGGACCTTTCCAAGTGTGTGACCTGTAAGGAGAAACACATTACTGTGAAGAAGGAACCCCTTGAGTCTTTGGGCATGACTGTCGCAGGAGGGCGGGGCAGTAAGAGCGGGGAGCTGCCAATCTTTGTGACCAGCGTCCAACCACATGGCTGCTTGTCGAGGGATGGACGAATCAAACGAGGTGAACGCTGCATCTGGAACGACAATAACAGGAACATTTCAGCCAAATCAAAAGCATTACATCAGAAACTACAGCACCTTCTTCCTCTCCTCCTTTAGGTGACATCCTGCTGAGCATCAATGGGGAGGACTTAACGTACCTCAGCCACAGTGAGGCTGTGGGCACCCTGAAGGCCAGTGCCGCCTCACCTTCAGTCCAGCTGCGGGTGCTGGAGGTCAGCATGTTGGAAGAGCCTGACCATGATGAGCTGCTGCCTCACACACATGACAGCGACTTTGATGCCAACTGGTCCCCCTCGTGGGTCATGTGGCTGGGCTTACCCAGGTGAGCACACAGAGGAGAGGAAGGATGACGGAGGCACACATTTGCCTTTAAATATAGTATAGCTCTGAATTTAGATGTGGCGGGTTAGGGTTGATTTTAGAAATTTCTTGAAACATGTTTAGAAACAGGTGAAATTATCCCACTGGCATTTTCCACTACTTTTAATATATTTGAAAGACTAAGATTTTCAATACGCATTTTTTTTAAACTGAAGCAGCATCTTTGGTCCTTTGATGATGCAGCAGATCTATACTATCTGTCCAGCCTCCCTTCACTCTGCTCTCTTCTTTTCTTGCAGCTACCTGCACAGTAGTCACGAGATCGTACTGCGGAGGAGCCACCCAGGCAGCTGGGGCTTCAGCATCGTTGGGGGATACGAGGAAAGCCACGGCAATCAGGCCTTCTTTATCAAGACCATTGTCCTCGGCACACCTGCGTACTACGACGGGCGCCTCAAGTGAGTGATCAGTTGCTCTTCATGTGACTATCTGTGGCTTATGTTAGCAGTGGCATAGTGGTGAATTGGCAGGTAGAGAAACTGTGACCTCCAGTTGGTGATTGATAAGAGTGGCATGATGATAGGCCGCACCTATGGAGTGCATTACAAGAACAAAACAATTTGTTCAGTTTCAGTACATTTAATAATAAAGATCTGCAGTTATTTACTGTACACCCCCCCCCCCCACCCCCCCTTTCTAAATAGTTTAATTTTTAAACCGAGCTTGCTGTGTCATCAGCAACGCAAACAGCTACCAATAAACCAAAGCATTTAATATAAGTGAATATAAATTAATGTAAGTTAGAAAGATTGTTAGATTGAAAAGGTAGGTAAACCTTGTTCTGCAGTTGAAAAGCAGAGGTACTCTTCTTACAAATTTCTTTGAAATTTTTAGGACATGTCCCAAAGATAGCAGTTTGTTAAATTTAGGTTGCCACAAATGAACTGGATTAAATTAAATTTCACGAGGATTTTCTGCCCTGGCTCTTCCTTTCTTTTTAAACATATAGGTAATTCTTTCTAAAATAAAGGATACGTCTATGGAATTTGTCAATAAACAGACCAAAACCAACAATTAACTGAACTAAGAACTGTTTAAGTTTGATAATCAAACAATTTCCCCAGAGTCCAAAGTGACATCCACAAATAGCTTGTTTTATCTGTTTTTTCCTCAGACCAGCAAAATCAGTAAATATTCACATTTGAGAAGCTGGAGGCAATACATTGAGATTGTTAGAATTACCTAAATGACAAAAAAAAAAAGTGTCTTATTTCTGTCAATTAAATCACTTTAACTTAGCTCACTTTTATTCTTTAGTTTTATTTCATGGGAATTGTTGACAGTAACAAATATGAACATTTGCCAGATTTTCAAACATATGCAAGCCACTGCTGAACCGAATGTTTCATATGTTCCATAATGTAGAGCTATTTTAAATGGCTGTCAGGTCCTGTTTATAATCCATCCTGACTTGTCTGTAGGTGTGGTGACATGATTGTGGCAGTCAATGGCCTATCGACGGCAGGAATGAGCCACTCTGCACTGGTGCCCATGCTGAAGGAGCAGCGCAGCCGGGTGGCGCTTACTGTGGTCTCCTGGCCTGGTAGCCTGGTATAGCTGGGCCAGATCATAAGCAAGCCTGTACACCACGCCGAGTCCACCCAGAATGTTCTATATTGGGAACAACCTTGGCCAAAGTGAACTGGTACACGCTATTGTACATCACTCCATACTGGGCTTAATCCAGGACCAAAAGCATTCAGAACTGTAGTAGACTCAGCAGGACCAAGGCTGTCCTGACCAGGTGGGAACTGATCCAGATCGTGCCACGTCACTCGACAGACTGCACTCAAATACACTGCTGAGATCATATGGTCATGTTGTCTTGGTACTGCAACTGTTAACAGGCGATCTGTGCTATATTCACCTCACCAGGCAGTTGTAGAATCCAGGGCTGTATTCAGGTGGATGCATCGTTGCAGGTAGAGCTAGAATATATTTAAGAAAAAGACAAAAACAAAGTAGAGATAATGACCTGTGATCACGCTAAATCAAGAATTTCTGCAACACCAGCGCTGTATCCAGCTGAATAAGCCTCAGGCCTTAGAAACCTGCCGCACCCTGGGGGCTCAACTGCCCTTAGGCCTCATCACCATGACAAACAGCTGTCCCATCAGCTGGAATTTTATACATGTGTGAATGTGTGTTGTTTAATAAACATTCCTTCAGAGGATTAATGGCTCCATAGCGTGCTTTGGGAGTGGGAGGTAATTTTAGGAACAGTCACAGCCAGAGAAAGATGCTAGTGTGGTGCTGTGTTAGAGGCTTTAATTCACACTTGTAAAACAAAAGTATAAATCAACAAAAATATTAGTGATTTGTTTCACCATTAACACATCCAAGCAGGTTTATACAATACAGTGCAGCCTCAAGATTTGTCATCTTTTAAAGTTGTTTTGTGCAGCTTTGCAGCTAGTTTGTCCGCTTGATTGCCTGCAGCTGCCAGTTCGACCTGCTGTGCCATACGCCAGGGCTGATTCTTTTTAGGACGCAGTTTCTGAAATGGGGACAGAACCACACACACACACACACACACACACACACACACACACACACACACACACCATAACAGATACAAGGACAAGATGGAGAGGAGAAGTGTCACATTTCCTGTGTAAGCAGGGGAGAAAAAAAATAAACCACACAATCAAAAGGACACTTTACCTTCAGCTTTCTCTTTGCTGGGTCATGCGCCACTCCATGTCTCCACAGGCTTTCCTGATTAACAATGATACCAGTTACCAGCTATACTGTATTAGCAATTTAACTTATCAAGACATACACCACACTCCTAGTTGTCTGGTCATGTTAATGTGCTCTTGTTTTTGAAACATCTGCCACCAACCTAGTATTGAAGGTTACCAGAATTGAGTTTGTGCTGTAGAACACACTGAAAAAGGACATGATAAATTTCAACAGCACATCTTGCCAAGACTCATGTTCCTGTTACTCAAGATAATCTAGACTTTATTCTGCAGTTTCCAAATTCTGTAGAAAGTAGTTCTAGATAAAACAGTAATCATACAGGAAGGTCTAGATTACTGTAGTAACTTGGTTGCTGCCAAGAAATGCAGCTATTTGTTTTGAAAGGTAGATCACATCCACTCTTCGCTTGTATTGGGGTTGCAACAAAATGTTAATCTGCATGTGTCACACCTTTAGCAGGAAAAACCCCAATCAGCATGGCTGGACACCACTAGTTTGAGACATTTGTGATTTGACCCAACATTTAAAACTCATTGACGCACAGATTTACCTTCATGGCAAAGCTCTTCCCACAGCCAGCATATGCACAGCTGAAGGGCTTCTTATTCTCATGGTCTGCCAGAATGTGACTCTCCAAATTGAAGCGACGAGTGAACTCCTTATCGCATCCTTTTCTGGGGCATGGCAGCTTCCTCTTCTCCCCAGAGTGGACACGCAGCTCATGCTGGTGCAAAAACCAAGCATTGTTAAACAGCTTTTTGCACTCTCCACACGGCACCTTGACTGGGAGCAAAAACCAGCCATTTGTGATTCAACAGCTCACAACAAAAGAGGTATGCAGTGCACAAACACTCATCCCAGCATTACATCCATACCTTTATGTTCTTTTCTGTGCTTCAGATATTCTGTCCACGTCTTTCCCTGAAAAGGACACTCTTCATTCTCACAAGGGTATCCTGCAGCAGAGACAGGGTTTTTCCCCCCCCCAGATTAAACACACCAATTAAAATAAATAAATTCTCTTGTTGTCAACACACCTCCATGCACTCTCTCATGATGCTTCAGTTTTCCATGAGTGGGAAATTCTCTTGTACAGCCACTGAAGGAACAACTATATAGAGAAATTTAAACAAAAAAAAAGTTAAGATTTTTGCTGGCCAAGTGCAAATAAGACTAAATGTTGGTTGCATCACATGTGTAGCCACTCACTGATATGGGAGAAGCTGTTGGTGCTCACACTTATGGGTTTTCAGTTGGTTCCTCTTGTGGAAATCCTTTCCACAGTCCTGATGGTCACACTGAAAGACAAAAATAAGAGCAAAAAGCATGCTAATGCAGCATAGTAAACACCAACCTGCTTACAACAAAATAAAAGAAGAACTTTAGAATTATTGTACTCTATATGGTTTCTCCTTGTGCTGGTGAACTCGAGCCATGTGGTTCTTCATGCTGGCATTTGTGACAAAGGCCTCAGAGCATCCATCAGCCAGACACCTGAGACACCAGAGCAGGTAACAGTTTAAAGACGTAAGGCAGGTTGGGAAACACTTTATTTTTCCCAGTCATGTTAAATAGGGACATAGTGGCTTACTTGTGTGGTTTTTCCCCACTGTGATTGAGCTCATGTCTGGTGAGCTGATAGCGAGTACAAAAGCTCTTGTCACAGTTCTCACAGGAGAATGGTTTCTGAAGGAAATTTGACACATGAGACCCCCCAAAAACTGGTAATTGATAGACAATTAAACACCACATCAACAATTCTCACTGTTCAGTTCGGCTTCCAGCAGTTCAGAGCCACTTACCAATCCTGTGTGTTTGCAAAGGTGAGCCTCTAGCTTCCATGGCTTACTGAATTTAGCTTTACAATCAAAAAAAGAGCAAACATAACTTTTTTGACTTTGCAACCTCTCCCCCATCTTTAATGAGCAATGTCAGATGTGGTGTTGTGGTCACAGACAAAACTTGTAGTAAAGGGGCAGGACTTTGGCCTACAACCAGCAGCTCGCCTGTGCTTAATTTATCTTGCTGGAACGTACCAATTAGAGCAAGAAAGGGGGTGTGCTGCCTCGTTAAAACTGGAAAATATGCAACTGATTTCTTATTTAAACATTTTTACTACAACAAGTAGTAGTCTACAAACACTCAGGATTGTAGTACAGGTCATCTGGCATGTAAGACACTAGAAAATAATTTAGGCCCCTGAGTTTAATAGTGATCCCATTGATACTCAGACATTATTAATGTCCGTGACTCTTTCCTCTATATTGATTGATTCTGGCTTTAAAAATGTCACACTGGCTCCTTGCAGTATGCGTCCCTATCTGCTGATCTGCTGCGTGTGTGTGTGTGTGTGTGTGTGTGTGTGTGTGTGTGTGTGTAGTGCGTAGGCAGGGAGAGAGGCGACTGTCTGTCTCCATTAATCACACACACACACACAGAATTTATTGCTCTAATCTTAATCTTATCAACCCTCCAATATTGTTTTCTGATAGCTGAGATTTATTGTTGTCAAAACTTAGTCTTCAGTGATCCTTTGTAACCCGCAAACCTGAAGCTAAATCAACCTTTCTTATAGCTAGACTGTCACTTTTGAAAGAAGAAATGACATATTCTTTCTATTAAAAATGGAAAATTGAATTCACAATTGCTCAATTCAATGCAAAATTTAATACTTTGCTGCTACAGCCTTATATGGCCTGGTATGACCAGTAGCTTAATGTTTGCTACTGTTAACAAACTTTAGGTAAATGCTACAACACACATTACTTGCTGCCTTTATGACTCTCCACTTGTGCTATTTTAGCTGAAGTGTCTCTTGTAGCTACAGTGGCCGCTGTTCACCAAAAGTTACATAGTCTTGCATTAACGCAAGACTAACTTTAGCTGAACAGTAGCCACTGTGCCCACAAGAGACAATCATAGGATAGGAGTAAAATGCCAGTTTAGAGTAAAAGAGAGTCATAAAACAGCAAAGTTAACTAATATTATCTACCATAAGCTACTGGTTGTACCAGACCAAGGCTGCAGCAAAGCTCCAGAGTTTTAAACTGAGCAAGGATGAGTTTTATTACTTATGAATTAAACTTTAATGTCAGACTGTGCTATTTCCTCTTTTTAAAAGTGACAGAGTCTTGCTTTAAGGCAATGTAAATGCTAAAACTACCATTGAATTAATGCAAAAATTCAAATATTAAGCGCGACTGTGTAACATTTTTTACTGGTTAAATGCTAAACCATTGTGCAACAGTAGCACAAGCAGAGAAGAGTCATAAAGTCAACAAAACAAACAAACTGAATTAGCAGTGTCTTTACAAAGTTTGCTAACGTGTGCTAAGATTAGCCACCATAAAGTACTGGTCACGCCAGACCAATTAAGCCTTTAGCAGAATTTAACAAGGGTGCGTCTGTTTGTGGGACTATAAATACAGCTTTTAATTTTTTAAGAGCTATTTTTTCGTTCAAAAGTTACACAGACTTGTTTGAAATAAAATTTAAAAAGACAGACAATCCAATAACACTATTTGCTTGTCCAAACATTAGAGATCAGCGTCTGCGCCCACACCGTGCTCTCATGTGAAACCTTTGACTGACTTTTGTGAATGAGGCCTATTGAGAGCCTGTTGGGCGTTACCTCTGTGCCCTCCCATGCTTCAAGTAAGTATGCCTGGATCAGTTAACACTGTTATCAGCCCCCACCACCACCACCTACTCCACCTCTGCTGTCAGGGCCAGGATCAATACAGCTGGCCCAATATCCACATATATGACCATGCCCCCCCCCCTTCCACACACACAGACACACACACACACACACACACCCCTGTTTCTGATAACCACACAGACTCTATCTCCGTGCCTATCACACACACAGAGATACAGCATGCACTCTGTTTGGCCTGCAGTGGGATTTCCTTGTGTCTTTGTCAAACCTTCAGGCCTAACCCCAACACACACACACACACACACACACACATCGTGTCGATATACACTGTCACACCCACACTTGCATCACAGTCACAAATATTCATCTCAAGACCAATGAAGGCCCTTTTTCTTCAAGAAGTAGGTGAGTATGAGGGATGGTGAGAGGCCTTAGAGTGGGGTAAAGATGAATGGAATTTCAGATGGTGGCAGAAACTCATTACATTTGTTCAGGTGCTGTACTTAGAGGTGTTTGTAGTTTACTTCAGTCTTTCCTTTTATGTTACTTTCATTGCATTTTTTTCAATTTATTTTACTTTTTTACTTCACTACGTTTATCTTTTGTCTAATAATGGCCAAAGGTGATGCGCAAAAGTTTCCTTTGGACAGTATAGTTACAAATTAAGATTTTGCTGAGCTTATAAAATATGATGAATGTTATAGATGAAACTACCCAATTATTTTTTAATTAGCTCCACCTTGACCTGCCACAACACTGACATACTGGGAACACATGAATGCAAATATAAGAACAATCCAACATTAAGGTCAAGTCAGGTCAAATTAATTTTATTTATATAACCTAATATCACAATTGCCAAATTTACCTCAAGAGGCTTTAAAATCTTTATAATATAAAATATGTGAAATAACATATAATATCACAACACTCACGTGATGTGCACTTTTACTTGTGACACTTAGCACATTTTGCTGATAAAACGATTGTGCTAGTATGATTTTGAATTCTGGATTTTTTCTTGAAATGGAGTATTTTCACACTTTTTTTTCTACTCAAAGAAAGGATCAGAGTTGCCTACTTCTTCCCCCAACTATTTTGGACAAATGTTGTTTTTTTTTTAAACAGCAAATAGTCCATTTTCCACAGAACACATTGCCAACAGTAGTTTTCAAAGTACTAGCTCCAAAATAACGGTGACACTGAGGTTTGTGGATTATTCCGAGTAACCAAGACACTGCTTCTGAGAAATTTGTTTATGCTTTGAGCACCACAAAATAATTTCCACTGTCATGGAATGGATGCAGAAATCTCAGTCAGATATCCCAAAACCTGGGCACAACAAGATAGAGATTAAGTGTGAGAAAACATGTGTTTTTGTAATCTGGGTGAACGTAATAATTGTGAAATTTCATAATGTGCAACATTTCCACACACAACTCATCGTGGATAAACGGTGCAAGCCTGCCTGTGTCCATGTCCAATGATCTACTGTGTGTCTGTGTGAGTGTGGTTAATATGTAACACCCTGGGTCGATACTGCTGCTCTGAGCTGCTGGCTGAGCTGACAGACTCAATCTGTGTGTGTCAAACGTGTGTGATTAAGGAGTTCATAGTGCTCCACAGCTTTTATCCTCATCTTTCTGCCCTCCTCTCTCTCTCTCTTTCTCTCACTCTCTTGCTCCTTCTCTGTTTACTTTTTGTTCCCTTAATCAGTAACTTCCATGAGTCAGTGCCACACAAGACGCTCTGGTGCATCTGTGAAAGCACACACACACACACACACACACACATAAAGTGTTTACTGTAGATGTATATTATTATATTATATGATGCTATAGGGAGAGAGCATCCTACAGTATAGATTTGTCAAAGATAGATGCGCGATGAATGATTCTCAATCCACAATTTGCTCAACTGAGATGTGCTGGGAATATTGAAAACCACAGAGGCCCCATTCCCCCTATCTAAATACTACAGGCAAAATCCAAACCTTGCTGATCAATACCAAGGGCTTTGGCTGCCAACCATCTCATTGATTGATTGCATTTTATTTTTCCATCGTTTTTTCCTGGTTGTACCTCTGCAGGTTGTTGGATACTTATTACTCTGTCCTGATAAGACCCCGTGTCTGAATTCCCCGACCTCAGGCCTAAAGGGTTACAAGGGTGAGGAAAGACAACCTCTGCTGGTTTATCTCAGCACCATTGTCCACAAAAGGGATTACAACATTCGTTTTGTGCCTCTTTTTAAAATTCTGCCTTTAGAAAAAATCAGTCCTCAACGTATATGGGACATCTAGTCTACTTTAAGAAAAATTAAAGTGGTGCCCGTCCCTCTCTCTCTCTCTCTCTCTCTCTCTCACACACACACACACACACACACACACACACACACTTCATTCTGTCAGCTGCTGGCCCTATCTCTGTAAACTGCTGCTAATTCGTGTAAATATTAGGTAAAGTACTGAGGTGGGATGAGATAACCTATTTGTCACATAACCAGCCAGCCATTCAGCCTCCACTGATTAAACAGCACACATCAAGTGACACACACACACATGTACGGTGCTGCAACATCATGACAGGCAGCTCTCTCACACACACACACACACACACATATGCATTTTATTTTTAAATAATTTTACCAATATGCCCTGTTAAATGGTGAACCACTATAAAGTCTAATTTCTTATGATTTAAAAGATCCACCCACAAAGACAACAGGTTAAGAAGACATTCACAGAACTCTTTAAAGTTTAATACAGCTGATGGCAAAGACTTCGTATAAAGATTGTTATATATTACAAAATATGTCATGTTATAATTGTATTTCACAAGTGGATTATTTATAAAAACTGCCATTCTCTCTTGTCATTTCCATTATTGTTTTAACCACTCAAGTTCTTGATCCACTCAAAACTGTAGATCTTTTTCATGCATAATATCCATTATGCAGTTTGCGTTTCATTTCATTGTACCTTGCACATGAGAGTACTTTATGCTCCACACTTTAAAAATTGCTATAAAAATAAAATGACTACTTTACCCCCACAATCTGCCTTTTGTGTAGAGGGGGTTGGGTTAGGAGGATATTTAAGGAAAGGGATGAATCTTCCCAACACTGAAACATAAATCAACTAAAGTGTTGACAAGTCACAGGTAAATAACAACAATTCAATAAAGCACCATTCTGATACTCATTCATCCTACTAACTTCTCAGTTTTGTGTTCTAAGATCTGCCAGTCTGCCATCCTGCAGCTGAGGGCCGTCATGTGTATTTACATATATCCTGTTGCACACTGCCACCTA